AGTTCATTTTAAACTACTATCTTTGGTTACTTTTTTATTTTTACTTTGGGGTAAAAATGGAACAAACATACAAACAAACAAACAAATACTTCCACTGACATGCCTCCAAAGAAGAGCTTTTAATAAAAATGCACTGATATTACCTGACTTTTAAACACAATACAAAACTTGTGTTCTTATTACAGCAATCTCTTCTTTGACTTTAAGATGTTGCATTCCAGCTGTGCTATTAAAAAGAGAGATCCAGATCTTCAGTTTAGCTCCATAGCCAAGCAACAAATAAATATGTCAGATTGATACACATTCTGGATGCTGTTATGACCAGACATGCTTGTTTAGGTGTTCGCTGTAAAACTCTATCATTGTTCGATAGCTTGAGGGAAACCAGAGACAAGAGGAAAATATTTTCTGGTTGTTTATGTCTGTGGCTTCTTTTTCTCTAAAGCACTGCATTTGTCAGTACTGCTTGCAACATGTTTATGTTGGTAAATCATCATGCAAGCTCTATGTCCAAGCTTTGAGAGAATCTTCCACATTCCCTTGTTTAAAAATACAAAATATCTGACATGTGGTGTGTGGGTGTTAGAAATATAAAAGGCTAGACAAAAAATGTTATTGTTCTGCCAAAAACACCAAGCAACATTTTCCAGTTTTAAAAAAATGTTTTTGGTTACTCATTCCTTTCTTTACAGACTTACGTATCCTAATATCTACCTCATCCGTTTTCTATTTCTATTATTTCTTGTTATTAATATTATTATTAATTATACCTTTATTCCTCTTTCTAACCTTTCTTTTTGCTCAGCATTTAAAAAAAGTTGACTTAAGTTACTTATTGTTTTTCCGGGATTAATCCTTCCAAAGTGGTTTGCCATTAATTGACATTGTTTCCTCATAGATTCCTCCGCCTGTGTAGGCATCATTCCTGTTTCAATTCCCCAAGTCTTGTTTTGCTTTTTTGTCTTTGCTTTCATTCCTGTCTCCCTTTCTTAGCTCAATATGGCCACTGCATTCAAAAGCCTTGCTGCATTATTAAGACACTAATGCTTGCCTTCATCAGTTTTCCTATCCTTTCTCCCTCCCCCTGCTTCCTAAAATAGGTTTTTGCTGTATGGCGACTGTAGTCCTGCAAGAAAGCAGGAAATTTCATGAATCAGAAGTTAGCTCTCAAAACTTTGTTCTAGAAAATTTCCCAATATGATTCATTAAAACATTTGTTTCCCCTTGGCTTAGTCCAATTGACATAAATAATCCAAGCTTTTTCATTTGTTCTGTATACTCAGCTATAGAAGCCAGAGAAAACCAGTAATCACAGAGGCTCAAATAGCTATACATTCTATGCTTTCCCACACAGACACACACTAACTGGAGGAAAGACATCTACTAGAGAGTTGTACTAGATACTGGGGAAATGATTAAATTTGCTGTTCAGAAAAGTGTTCTTTCTTTTTCAATTTCTTTGACATTTTCCAACATCTTACCATAGAAGTTACATGCTTGAAAGCATGCATGACGGTCAACACTGCAAGCTGAAAGTTTTAAAAAATTCATATAGGTTGATTATATTTTTCCTATTAAATAAAAATCCACCAAGTTTATTGTACAACAGCTATAACCTGAGGAGGAGCCTTTTTATATTAAAAAAAAAATGCCACTGTGATGGTTTTAGGTAAAAACCGAATACTTTTGAGGATAAAGAAACATCATTTTTAATGCAAGTATTTCAGCACGCAATTGGGACTGGACATCTATGAAGTTGCACATGCAGTACCACCTTTAGGGGTTCAGGTGGCAGTGGATGCTGGGAGTTGGGAGGGAGTAGACAAAATGTTAGATGAATTGTGCTGGGGAGTGTGGACCTCAACAAATGGCTTAAGATGCCAGGTCCTGCTATCAGGCATCTAAGGGATGGTTGCCCATGATGGAAGCTCAGTGTTAAAATAATGAGAGCCATCTTATTTGGGGTACAAAAACAAATGGAAGTACTAGATATGCTTCTGAAAATCTGCAAGTAAAGAATGGATCCACTAATGTTTGACATAGTAACTTATTCAGTTAGGCATCCTTCAGTCTCAAAAGACTATGGTGACGTGCTCTGTATGGAGGACTTGGAACAGAGTCTAGTGTGGCTGAAGCGGCCAATTCGAGAGTGACAATCTCTTCCACACTGAAGACAAATCCAATCTGTCCCCTGTCCAGCTCCCTGGTTTTGCTGCTTTTGTGACTTCCTCTTTGCCTCGACCTGTTGGATAAGGGTCTCTTCAAATTGGAAGAAGACGTGATGTCTTTGCCTCGACCTGTTGGATAAGGGTCTCTTCAAATTGGAAGAAGACGTGATGCACTGCCTGCCTCCAGGCTGAATGGTCAGATGTCAGGGTTTCCCATCTGTTGAGGTCTATTCCTAAGACCTTCAGATCCCGCTTGCAGATATCCTTGTATTGCAGCTGTGGTGTCCCTCTGGGGCGATTTCCCTGCACTAATTTTCCATACAGGAGATCCTTTGGGATCCGACCATCAGCCATTCTCACGACGTGCCCAAGCCAACGTAGACGTCGCTGTTTCAGTAATGTATACATGCTGAATATTCCAGCTCGTTCTAGGACTACTCTGTTTGGAACTTTGTCCTGCCAGGTGATGCCAAAAATCCGTC